CGGACTGACAGGAAGTGCACACTCAGTGTGCACCTTCCTATCACTCCGGCCGGCCACCGCGGACCAGAGTGCAGCTCGGCCACGCTACAGGGGAGGGCAGGGGAGGGGAGAAGCTGCAGCCGCCTGAGCGCTCTTAATAGAGCGCTCAGGCGGCTGCAGTTTTTAAAGGGCCGGCCCGGTCCCAGGTGCCGACGGCCCACCGGGAAATTTCCCGGTATCCCGGTGGGCCAGTCCGGCCCTGCTTATAAGAGGTATAATATCCAACAGGATTGAAACAGTACATGAGCCCAACAACTTAAAACAGCCGACCTATAATAATGGGTGAGACCCAGATAATGGCATGGTGGTGGAGGGCCGGGTCTGTCACGCACTATGATCGGGTGCGGTGGTCAGTGTCTCTCTAGAGACCTCTTCTGGTGTAGGGCAGTCAAGAACGTGGCTCCCTGTCTTGTGAGAGCGTATCCGTAAGTCGACGTAGTCACGGTCAGTTGTCCGGGGAATTAAACCGGGACCATTGTCCAGTTTGTCAGAGGCCCACTCATGGTTACACTAACAAATGTCTGCAGCCAAGGGGATCATCAGAGAGGTTGGGTCTCAGTCAGCCGTCCGGCTATCGGTCAAGAGCTGTTGGGTGAGAGGGAGGGGGAAGTAAGGGGGGGAAGAGGCTTCCGGCTCACAGCCCCGCCCGCCGAGAGGTACCACAGCCAGGGCGACCAAGTGCGAGTACATTTCTCTTGCCTATCGTACAACGCTGCTGTAAGGGATTCCATATTATATAGTTCCCCCACCTTGTTGATCCACTGCTTGAGTGTGGGCGCATCCTTGTGTCTCCACCTTGTAGGGACCAGTGCAATGGCTGCCGTTAGGTGTTTTATCAGAGATTTCTTGTATACTGAAAGGGTCATGTCAGTGTGATGGAGGATCATGGTGAGGGGTTGTAGTGGAAGGGCAATATCTGTGATTTGCTTAATGGTCTCTTGGATCGTGGTCCAGAAGGGGGCGATGCCCAGGCAGCTCCACCAGATGTGGAGGGCGGTGCCATTGGCATCGCGACATCTCCAACAATCCCCAGGCATCTCGTGGTTTATACGGTGCAGAATGTCTGGGGTTCTATACCAGTGCCTGAGGACCTTAAAGCTGGTCTCCTGAAGTTTGGAGCTGATGGAACATTTTTGTGTTAGAATAAAAATCTTGTCCCAGTCCTGGTCTTTAAACGTGGTTCATGTCTCTCTCTCTCCCATCTAGTAATGTATCTTGGGTGCGACGGGTTTTCTCCAGTAGCGAGAAGTGCGTAAAGTGTGGAAACGCCCCTCACAGGGTGAGCCCTTGTGGTGCAGAGTGTTTCGAACTGCGTGGGGATTCTGTGGAGGCACTGTTTGTTTGGGAAGGTCACGTAGTATGCCCGCATTTGAAGATAGTGGAAGTGGTCTAGGCCTGTGGGTACTGTGTCCCCCAGGATGGCTGTCAGAGGCTTGAGTCGGTCCCCCTGTATTATATGGTGGAAACTAAGCTAGTCGGAGTTAGGGTATGCGTGTAGGTCCGCAGGCGTTAATCCCCCTCCAACCCCCGGGTTGTGTGTGATGGGCGTGAGAGGGCCATCCAAGGTGGAGAGTTGATGCGAGTACCGTACCGCGCACCAGACTCGTAGCGTTGCATCAATCATTGGATTGCCTGTAAGCAGCGAATTTTGTGCGAGGGATCCAAGCCACAGGCGGGAGGGAAGAGTTCCGCCCATCTGAGCTAGTTCCATGGGGACCCATAACTTGGCCATGTGGCGTACGTGCCAGTCCACAGTCCTAAGTAAGTAGGAGGCACAGTAATATCCCAGAAAGGAGGGGAGACCAGCTCCCCCACGGGCTTTGGGGCGTTCTAGGAGCGCCTTGCTCACCCTACTCGCTTTCCCGTTCCACACGAATTGCCGGATCGCCTTGGAGAGAGATTGGAAAAAGGCTCTTGGTGTGGAGATGGGTATCGTTTGGAACAGGAATAGGAGACGCGGTAAAACATTCATTTTAACAGCATTGATCCGGCCGAACCAGGAGACATAAAGGTTCCTCCAGCGGTGTAGGTCAGCCTGCAGGACCGCTAGGATGGTGAGGAAGTTAAACTGGTATAGGAGGTTTAGGTCGTTAGGTAACCAGATCCCAAGGTATTTTAGCTTGTTGTCGCACCATGAGAGATGGAATTGCGACTTGAGGTGTGCTACCTTTCTTGTTGAGAGCGTGATCGGGAGGACCTCCTCATGTTTAACTTAAGGTTGGAAATATCGCCAAAATCCTTAAAGGCTCGGAGGAGGTTAGGAAGGGATATAGTGGGGTTGTCAAGGAAAAATAGCATGTCGTCCGCATATGCGACCACCTTATGTTCCGAATTGTGCAGTCTGTACCCCGTAATGCCCCCATTCCGTCTGACCGCCTCCAGGAAGGGTTCCAGGGTGAGGGCAAACAGAAGGGGGGACAGGGGACAGCCCTGCCTCGTGCCATTGCGAATGGGGAATGGGGCTGAGAGGGCACCGTTGATCCTTATGCGGGCAGTCGGGGTAGTGTAGAGCGCAAGTATCCAGGAGCGAATATGGGGTCCGAATTGCATATGACGGAGGGTAGCTTCGAGGTACTGCCAGTCCACCCGGTCGAAGGCTTTTTCTGCGTCCGTCGAGACCAGAACTAGGTCCTCGTTGGTCGACCGGGCGGAGTGGATCAGGTTGAGGGCTCGTATGGTGTTGTCCCGTGACTCCCTACCCGGGATGAACCCCACCTGGTCGGGGTGCACCAACGTGGGGAGTACGCGGGAGAGTCGAATGGCTAGGGTCTTGGTTGGGAGAGGTCTAATGTGAGAGGGAGGTTAGTTAAGATCCGAATTAAGGAGCGAGATCGGTCTGTAACTCCCGCAGTTGG